AAAAATGTTCATAAATACTATAATCATGACCTGGAATGCATACATTATTTATACATCAGAATAATTATTATGCACAGATTTCAACTGTTACTGCCTGTACTAAATGTCCTTACTTTATCTGCAATAAAACTATACATTATGTCACTAATGCCACAACACAAACCCAGGGGTTTTGGGGACCCTGTATTTACTGCTCCAGACTCTTAAAATTGAAATCAGTATGATATTTGGTAGTGCATCTTTTGAGTATGATTTTCACTCCATAATGAAAAATATTGAATTGCCTAGTTCATAAATTCAGCAAAGCCCATTAGTGTGTATTGTGATGCCACTAGAGATGTCATCCTGAAGGGACAGTATTTACTTTGAGACATTTAATATCAGTTTGCTTGCATAAAAATGGCCACACCCAGACCTAAGATGGCAACAGGTAATTGTTGGAACAAAGAACAACAATGCACCCTGTTCTATTCTATATAAGTTGACTATTGAGCCAGTAGTTGTGGAGAAGAATGAGAGAAGTTTGCCAAATTCTTAAGCTCTGTGTTTTGCTACTTGGAATCTGACAGTAGGAAATGGACTATGGACATCCATGGACTATGGACCTGAAGCTAAACGAGAATGAAAAGAAGACACTGAACTATAATGAACCAAGAAAAATCGAGAGTCTAGACAGAATTTTGTTTTTGACGTGATTTTTTCACAGTTAAATGTATCAGTTTTAGGTTAACTACCCCTGGTATTTATATAGGGAATTTCAGGGCACTCAGGTGTTCATACTATGAGCTAGTGCTTCTTTTAATTTATTGTTTTATTTCCCCCATTTTCTATTTCAAAATAAACATTATTAAATTGACTGTTTACAGATGCAGCCATTCAAAATGCGCGGGCGATACCGCATTATTTTCCGGTACACTGTACGCAGTCTACCGCAAGTTACCGGAAAATACCGCTAGCAAAATAAGAGTATCCGGAATTTCTGCAATGTGGAGCTAATAAAGCTCAACCTCTCATGTTTGAGCTGTCGCCATCCAAGTCTTTACGAAGATATTTCTAATAGTATTAATAATGAATGACCTTGGACGAGCTGTAAGTGTAAACTCAAAGTATTGCCCTGATCCACATTCTTTTTTTCATTGACCATCTTTTTTAAAAGTAACACCACAGCATTTCGCAATCACGCATTTGTTTCCAATCATGCAAAGTACAGTAATTTTTGAGAATCGATTCACCATGCCTTTCACATGCTCATAAAAGAGATTGATTTAGGAACATAAACATATTACCGTATGCAAACTGTACTGCATACAGT